TAACTATATGTAGTTATAAAATGAAGAATAATTTTCTCGTAAATGTTCCCATAAAAGAATAATTTATTTTCCCGTAAAAGACATCCCATTTTTATTGCATTACATTTTAATGGTAGAATCTTCGATTAAATTAAAATCAATTTTTCCACAAAATTTTTTAATGTCCATAATTTTTGAATAATTTATTATAGAAAAAAGAGTTTCCGATATAAATCAGTTCAATCGAAACTTAGTTCAAAATAATTTTAATTTGTGGCATATTTATAAATTAAAAATATTGTATAATCAATTCGAGAAATTGATTAAATTAACATTAACATTTCACGTAATATTAAGTAAAACATTCTGCATAACATATATTTTCGTTTAATATTTAAATTGCTCCCGAGAGAATGCAATATTCATGTTTTCATGGTTTGGCAAAGTGCATATTCATCATGTGGTTTGGCAAAGTGCATATTCAAATAGACGCTTAAAGTGATGTACAATAATTAAATTTCAAATCAAGTGATTCGTTCTCTAGAATAAAAAAAAATGAAACAGATGGTGCTTACTGTTTCATTGTATTTCAAATTCTCCACCATTATTGATACCTTAGAGATAAAAGATTCTGCACATTGCCTAGGCACACGTTATTTTGATATTTTATATCGTAATGCATTATCTTGAGAAAATTATTCGTCAATATTTTTACGCAATCTACCGGAATGCATATTTAGCTGAACAAAAAACATGTATAACTAATGTAACAGTTAGCTGAGCGATTAAAAGTTGAGGTAAAATATAACTCAACTTTTGTGAAAGTATATTTTGAAGTAGACGTCCTATTTAAGTTAAATAATAAAAATAGAGTACAAATACATCTCAAAATTATATTATGACGCGGAGTTGCAAATTATTTCACGACATTAGATAAGATTTAATTTGGAAAAATGAAATGTGGAAGCTCACCGCGTGGCCCTACAATGGAGATCATATAATTCGCGCTGATGACTCAAAGCTGAGTTAAAACCGTCCTTGCAATATGTATATTAAAGACATACTTCGACTAAACGTTGAATTAAACAACGCATGCATCAAGAACCGCGTAATTAATCTCATTGTCCGTTATATTCCCTTTCGGTTGTATGATATTTAATTCTTTTATTTTATTAGGAAAATATTGCAATTTATATTCAAGCGTGTCTAGTTCGTTTTCCGAGTTGGCGACTATCTTGTCTCTAGAGAAACCCATTCTAATTCTAAATAATATATATCGAAGATACTATTGTGTTAATTTCAACGACCAGAGTAAAATTGCGGAGCCGCCGGTAGCTGGTGTTCGCAGCTTCGTCCCGTGCGTGCGCTATCAATTTCTATGGATCATCGAACTTCTTGTTCAAAACGAGTGTCTCGACGCTTCCGACAAGCGCCGTCTTTGCAGGTCACGCGATCCCATTCGCGCCCCCCGGTCATACAGTAATAAACAATCGCCCGGCGATCAGCGTCAGAACCTTTACCATACACGACGGACATGCAAATGCGTGACTTAAGTGGCCTCATGCACGACTCGCGACGATAAATCGGGTGAAATGTAAAACGATGCAAATTACTGAGAATATTTCTCGCGTGCTTTCTGTGAAAAAAATTCTTTTCATTCCGATAATGTGCGGATACATAAATTAAACGAATTCCTTAATCTTGTTATCAAATAAGAATAACGTCTTCTATCGCTGTATCTAACATGCAAGTGCATATTTCGACACTATAGTTTTAATTATTTTTGCAGCTGTATATAATCGCGAAAAGTATATTGCGGAGAAAAGATTGTAAAACTTTAAATAAGTTTCCCTCGTTAGAAAATAAAAATAAATTTGAAAATAACAGGATTATGTCATGTTAAACGCTTACTCAAAATAATCGTTCAGCTTTCAGTGACTCTTTCAAGACCAATTCAACTGCACAATTATCAGATTTACAAATTTAATTGCAATATATTTCTAGTAACATGAATCTTTCATCGCGCTTAACTGAATACTATTCTCTCACGTTTTGTATTTCCAGTTCAGTAATGCAGTAATATCGCAGAGAATGATAGAAGTGTAACCATGGGTCGCGGCCGCAGATTCGAAACTTTGCATACGAATCTCGCGCTCGACAAACTCGGAATCAACTTTATCGGACGATCGATATTGAACTTGCGGATGACATGAGTAATTGGATTTCGCATTCGGAACCGGAAAGCAGCGCAGACCGGATACGAACGGAAAATCGCGATCCGCGATGAACATGATATTCTAGACATTGTGCCACTTTCTCCTGGTTACCGCGAATCGAACTGAATCGACGTAGCGATATCGAGGTATCGATAGTTTATGAGCGATAGTGCAAATAGAACAGACAAAATCGGTAGATATTTCAACATCTATAGATCCTATGACACTTTGCATAAGCATTTCAAAAGCAAAAATTCTAACATGATACAATTAACTGTAATGTATAAAGTCTCCTTTGTATAATCATATTGTTTTCGACAAATAATCTTAATAATACACTGTAATATAATCGAACATACTTATTTAGTTTCATCATGAATGATTTGTCCATGTTCTTATTGCACAATATGGCAAATATATTTTAATAAGACGAACGGTGGTACGTATTACAAATTTCTCTACATCATCTCAAAAAGATATATTATTTGCAACGGAAAACGTTCTTCACAAAACGATTTTCCACGCGAACAATGTTTCCTGTTATACTACGTTATAAAAACTATTTTTGATTTGTCTGTGAACGTCCTTTTCTATTACGTCAGTTTTATTGCAAAATTTTATCGACTTTCGCGCGACTATACTTTTTCCTTGTCGCCCAATAAAATCACTTCTAAATTCAATTTCCATTAAAAAAAATTCGCTCAACATCTACAAGCGCTTTAACATTTAAGGAAAGGAATTGAAGTCCAATTTAAACATCACTTTACTTATGTAATATTTTAAGTACTTATTATTGTACAGATATATTATAAAAGAATCTAAGTATCATGAATGTAGTTAAATAACTTTTAACAATATTCCATATATTTCAAGATCAATTTTTGTTTTTCTATTTGATATATTGATATAAAAAGTTTTACTTTTTAAAGCATTTTCGAAACGTGCTATTTTAATCGAATTCGTAAAGCTAAATGTTGGTGGACTAAGAATTAGTCAGCCAAACGGCTAACAATTTATGCAGATAAATCCACGGAAGCTCCGACATCATATTCGACACGCGTGATTCCCGGCGAGACCTAAATCGACCGTCGTCTCTTTCATAGTTCGCAGTTTGCGAGATAGAAACATAGATTTAGTGCTGAGTGCGGGGGAAAAAAGAGAGGGAGACGAATGGGATACGCAGTTTCGTGGTCCACGCGATTTTCGTCGATTCGGCGACATTTTCTACGATGGGTGGATACCAAAGTAATTCACACACACCCATTGGGAAAGAAATATCAGTAAATCCTATCGAGCCGAAAGACACAATCCGCGTTGTGACAAACTATCTATTGAATGCTTCTTTCTGCGCGTGCAAATTTTACTCATATTGTAATTCACAGTATTAAGTGACAGAAATTGCCAGTTAAAATTTAATTGCGGTTAATTAATGCATATGGAAACGTCTTATATCCGTAAGTTTTTGCGAAAATATGACATACACCTGTAATTCTGATGCCACTACATTATCTATATCCACCTTTAAAACAATTTCATGTGCTATTTTTAATATTTAACACAATACTGTATTCATTTTTCTTCTGAACAAAATAAAAAGTTCAAGATGCTCAAATGAAATAATTCCATCGTGTTATAGATATGTACGTACAGACCTTACAAATGAATCTATTATACAACCTATTTTTTGCTTGGAAATAATTTGATTAATTGTATTTATTGAAAATTATCGTGATAGTATTTGCGTTCCAGTAAAATAATTAGATTCAAGTTGCATTCCCAACCCACATCGCGATGCAGCTGTAATATTTATTTGAATGGCATTGTCGATAATACGCGCCGATCTCCGCACAACCGTTTAATTTACTCAACTGATTTATTATTTATATTAAAATGCAACCGTTTAAGCGCTGATTATTATTATTAAAATGAAATATACAATTACATTAAGAGTATATAGGGACACTCTCTGGTTGTCCATTTTCGTAAAATCACGTCGTGTATCATATCGGCCGCGTCTATGATCGAGCAAATTAGTTTGCTATTCATATTAAGCACGGTAGGTCAGGCAAACGATGTTGAAATTAACACTAACACGTTTCTCTCGTTACATAGCAACGTATACGAGACCATAAGCATTATCTATCGAACTAACAGTCAAATCAACTGTTTACCCGATTTGTGCAAATCAGTAAATAATGTTCACATCGATATTCAAGTTATGAAATACAATCATAATGCACCTGTACAATATAAATTTATTATTATATTATATATAGGGATTTGAATTCATTGTGGAACTGTGGTTTTGCATGCGAATATGTAATAGGTACACGTATAGGCGTTATCATAAAAAGATCTGCAACGTATCTAAATAATTTAGATTTGTTTTTAACAATAATTCGAATCTCTAAAACGATTTTTATAAAGTAAAAATCTTGGTAAAATCAATGTTTTATTTTCAGAGTTTAGATATAATTAATCGAGTCCTAATTCTTTCCCAAAGAATTTTGAAGGAAGAAAGAAATACCTATAAGTTTTAAAAATATTTTTGGTGAAATGCAATAGAGATAAAAGTTTCTAAAATTGATTTTAATTCAAATAAGAAACTGTTATGTATTTTTAAACGAAAGCTAAGTCGACCCTTCATAAATCTTCCGATTCTTATGTTTTTACATTTATACGTTGAAATTCTTTTTACGGCAAATTAAGTACTTTAAAGTTATTTTAGAAAAGAGCCAGAACTCTGTGTCAACTAAATTAGCCGCTAATTTCACAAAGGTGAAAGAAACGTTTTCCTTCTTACAGACGGAGCAATTTGCGGTACTATGGCTACTATTTGCGGTGATTGTCGCCGGTAACACCGCAGTCCTCGCTGGACTTTTACTGGGTAAACGTAGAAAATCTCGAATGAATTTCTTCATCATGCAACTTGCATTTGCTGGTAAGTGTCTTTATTTTTAATACATAGTGTAATTAAGAAAGTTTTAATGCCTCGATATATATTTTATAAGGACAGTCGGCTTCAGATTAGACAAACAATTCCATTACGTGGTATTAACGATTTATAAAAATTCATCTACAACGAAACTAAAATAATAACGCGGTTTAAATATCAAAAAAGCTGTCGACTGTAATTTTGTTTTACTTCTGCTTTATCAATATTTACCCAAACGAGAATTGTGGACAGACTGTTACGTTTCTCCCAAAAATCTTTGCTCCTAATATCTTTAATTCAGACCCTGGGGGATGCGATAGCGCGTCCTCTTTCACGTATATGTTTTGTAGATAAACATTTCTTTTTCTTTCCTCGCGGGCGTATCTTTATGGGCAGAATATAGGGAACAAACGATATCGCGCGTATGTGACGTAATATTTTCTCGTATCCTAATGCTGACTACTATTTGCATGTATTGATCGTAGATATGTAAATGTATTTGTACTTACAAACGAGATGGTATCAATAAAAATCTATTTTCTTTGCAACATGACGATAATCGTAATTAAATATCATATCAATTCCTTTCGAATATTTATACAAGCGTGATAATATTTTTATCGTAATTAACAAAAATAATCTGATGCAAGAATTTGACTTTTTTCTGATGTTCTACACTGAAAAATTGGTATAACATAAACCAACTTGAATGTCCAATAATAAAGTTTACTGTTCACATATGTCTGCTAATAAAAGATATCGAACCGACCGTGCATATATGTCTACATTCGTACTTGCGCCAGAAAGCATCCAACGATAAAGTGAAAGAAATAAATCGTCTATTCTATTACTCTTTTTAACTCAGTTTAAATTTTACCTTTAACTTTCGGCATGTGTGATAGAATGTAATTTTTATAACTTAAAGTATCTTTTTTAATAACAATATTCCATATATGAAAACACAATCGGTTTGTCGCACATAAATATTATTTCTGTCACATTTCCATAAAGCATTCCGGTTATTATATTACAGCTAATACTGACTTTCTCCCATTATTCGTATAATAATTTATGACGTTGATAGCAAATGTATTTAAGTTAATGTCTGGTGAGATGGAAGAGGAAGTATGTCTTTTATAGTATAGAATAATTTTATGCATGTCACAGAAAATACGAGGAAAGGTATGCATATTAAAATAGACGTATCACAAAGATGTTTGTTAGGTGACACTTGAGAAAACTGTAAAGTAAACTTTATACGCAGCTCAATGTTAAAAAATTAAAAGTTATACGAAATACATTTTACTACTGGCATGTTGTTAAAAATATTTAAAATATTGTATGTAAATTAAAATAGTTAAATTATCGTGAGAAAACAACGGCATAATTTAATAATAATAAAGTAATCTTTATTTCAAATCTTTATTAAAGAATTCACGCTGAAGAATTCATAACTGATTTGGAAATAAAGATTTCAATGGATTATTAGTTATCCAATTATGTAATGCATATTGTTTGTACAATAAATAATAAGTAATGTAATATTGTACAGATTCAGCGACAAAAAAAATATTGCAATCTAGAAAATATGCTTTCGCAATCAAGCTGAATTTAAGGATACCTACTGGAATATTTCTGACAATGATTGTCACTACAAATATACTTCACGATAGACGTGCAACATCGCTATTCCAAGAGATTCTCTAAGTAATGATGTCGTATTCTTACATGACAAAAATGCGAGGCGTACTTTGTGAAAGAAATTGTTTACTTTCAGAACGATATAATGTTTAATAAATAAAAATGAGGGTTTCTATTTGCTATTGTCATTTTTAGAACTTCTCACAATAAATTTCTGTATATGTGAGTGTTATAATAATGAATAATATTGCACATCCCTAGATTCGATTAACGTATAATTAATATTAAAATTTTTATCACTTTGTTTAATAAATTTTGAAATGTAATTTTCAAGTACTATATTATAAATATTAAGTTTAATAAAAACGATTTTCAAGCGTCAACTAACAAATCGTTATTAAGTTGCCAATGTATAAACTTTATTATCAGTCTTTTTATTTGTGATCTTATTACGTTTGTAAACTAAGTTATCGAAGAAACGATAAAGCTTTGCTAATGGACAGTAAAATTACAATTCCATCTTCCTTTTCCCATCTTCACCATTTTTACGAGAAATCAATTGTGCACGAAGCAAATAGATATAATACGAATCTCAATAAGAAGGTTCGATAAAAGGCATTCATTAATAATAATATTAACTCCGTCATTGTAATGGTTTAATAGGTTTATAGAATTAAAAAAAGAGGATATTTGAAATCTCTTCAAAGACATATATTTTTAAGAAATTATTTTTCTCGACAAAAAATATTTACGTTGTCTCAAATCTTTTTATTTTACATTGTAAATATTTCTACATTAGATTATTACCACACACTAATTATTAGTGTAGTAATTAATGAATAAAAAAATATTAAATCAATTAAAATGTATTTTTATTAAATAATAAAATCCTTTGGCTTTAATTAAATTGCCTAAACTAGAGGGATCGAAAAAAACATTTAAGAAAAATCCGCGCAGAGATAACAAGATACAAAAGTGTTAAAGGATTTCGACGTTACCTTGAAACGGTGAAAGGTCGGAAATATACAGGGTGCTACGCAAGACTTTGACGTCCGGTCATGGGAAGGTAGAGGGGACTAAGACAAACAGAAAAGTATTGTACTATTTTGCGCTTGGACGAATAGTTATCGAGATACGAAATTTTAAAAATCGCCGTATTAGCCCAACCTACTGGCGAATGTAAGCGCGCGGTGAGGTGACCGGCCTAGCGGCCCCGCTCGAGGCGGTGTTCGGCGAGGAATAGAATGGCGGTGCGGGGCGA